CACCAGCAGCAGTGCCACCCTCTTCTTCACCAGCAGCAGTGTCACCCTCCTCTTCACCAGCAGCAGTGCCACCCTCCTCTTCACCAGCAGCAGTGTCATCCTCCTCTTCACCAGTGTTACCTTCCACTTCACTAGCAGCAGTGCCACCCTCCTCTTCACCAGCAGGAGTGCCACCCTCCTCTTCACCGGCAGCAATGCCACCCTCCTCTTCACCACCAGCAGTTCCACCCTCTTCTTCTCCAGCAGTAGTGTCATACTCTTCTTCAACCGCAGTAGTGCCACCCTCTTCTTCACCAGCATCAGTGTCACTCTCTACTTTACCAGCGGTAGTGCCACCTTTCTCTTCACCAACATCAGTGCCACCTTCTTCTTCACCAGCAGCAGTACCACCTTCCTCTTCACCAGTAGCAGTGTCACCTTCTTCTTCACCAGCAGCAGTACCACCTTCCTCTTCACCAGTAGCAGTACCACCTTCCTCTTCACCAGCGGTAGTGCCACCTTTCTCTTCACCAACATCAGTGCCACCTTCTTCTTCACCAGCAGCAGTACCACCTTCCTCTTCACCAGTAGCAGTGTCACCTTCTTCTTCACCAGCAGCAGTACCACCTTCCTCTTCACCAGTAGCAGTACCACCCTCCTCTTCACCAGCAGTAGTGCCACCTTCCTCGCCAGCAGCAGTGCCACCTTCCCCTTCACCAGCAGCAGTGTCACCTTCCTCTTCACCAGCAGCAGTGCCACCTTCTTCTTCACCAGCAGCAGTACCACCTTCCTCTTCACCAGTAGCAGTACCACCCTCCTCTTCGCCTGCAGTAGTGCCACCTTCCTCGCCAGCAGCAGTGCCACCTTCCTCTTCACCAACACCAGTGCCACCCTCCTCTTCATCAGCAGCAGTGCCACCCTCCTCTTCACCAGCAGCAGTGCCACCCTCCTCTTCACCAGCAGCAGTGCCACCTTCTTCGTCACCACCACCAGCAGCAGTACCACCTTCTTCTTCACCACCAGCACTACCACCTTCCTCTTCACCAGTAGCAGTGTCACCTTCTTCTTCACCAGCAGCAGTACCACCTTCCTCTTCACCAGTAGCAGTGCCACCCTCCTCTTCACCAGCGGTAGTGCCACCTTTCTCTTCACCAACATCAGTGCCACCTTCTTCTTCACCAGCAGCACTACCACCTTCCTCTTCACCAGTAGCAGTGTCACCTTCTTCTTCACCAGCAGCAGTACCACCTTCCTCTTCACCAGTAGCAGTACCACCCTCCTCTTCACCAGCAGTAGTGCCACCTTCCTCGCCAGCAGCAGTGCCACCTTCTTCTTCACCAGCAGCAGTACCACCTTCCTCTTCACCAGTAGCAGTGTCACCTTCTTCTTCACTAGCAGCAGTACCACCTTCCTCTTCACCAGTAGCAGTACCACCCTCCTCTTCACCAGCGGTAGTGCCACCTTCCTCGCCAGCAGCAGTGCCACCCTCCCCTTCACCAGCAGCAGTGTCACCTTCCTCTTCACCAGCAGCAGTGCCACCTTCTTCTTCACCAGCAGCAGTACCACCTTCCTGTTCACCAGTAGCAGTGTCACCTTCTTCACTAGCAGCAGTACCACCTTCCTCTTCACCAGTAGCAGTACCACCCTCCTCTTCACCAGCGGTAGTGTCACCTTCCTCGCCAGCAGCTGTGCCACCCTCCCCTTCACCAGCAGCAGTGTCACCTTCCTCTTCACCAGCAGCAGTGCCACTCTCTATTTTAAGCAAACAAGTACATTTAAAATTAAAAACAATAATAATGACTTCCTGTGTTATTATAATAAAGTAGAACCAATGTATAACGTGCTTTTGACCATATGAGAATAGTGTAGTACGTTTTGAAATGGTCCACCATGTAAGCATAGAAGTAAAACTATACCTTTACTAAAGAATACATTTTGATCAGTGAAAAAATAATGGCAGATGAAAAAACTCTTTGATTTACTACCAACTTGTCTCCATTTGTAGTCATGTGATTTACTGAGAATAAATAAAAAAGAGAAGATACGAAAATTTCAGAAGTAGTATGTGCAATGTACATTATTGGCCTGAATTGTTAACGAAATAAATGATGCAATGTTTATGCCTACCTTAAAATCCAATATTTTCCTTTGCCGGCATTCTTTGCAAAATTTGCATAGCAGTCACGTGATTTCGTGTGTTCTTTTTTAATGTGAAAGCTACCGGGTATGTTATTGTCTATAATGTAGTTAACCAATAAATCTTGCATCTCTTGGTCTGGTATTGGAGCCAGCCATCCCTTTTTGATTTTACAATACTCCCTCGCACTTGCACCATTCATCTTTTTGCTCACTATGTCGAATTGAATTCGCGGACCAATGTTGTGTTCTGCTTCCTCTGCAGCTGCGATGTGTATAATAAATATAAAAACATATTTCTATGATAACAATACTCTATGGAGGAAGTTAGGCTTATAGATTTGCCTTGGAATGGGCATCGCAGCTATAGTTAAACACATGTATGTGAGTACTTGTATGGTGGGGTGAAGCTTTTTCATCGAGTACATATCCGCAAATGCATAATGAACCAATTTTGAAAGTATCGCTCTTGCAAATTGCAACCGACAAGGTAATCGGTCGGTGCTACCACTCAGATTGGTTTAACAATTTTGAATTCTTCATATGGCCTGTTACAAAACCTTGTTAATAAATACAGTACTGTATCTACTACTACGATTGGCGTATTTGTTAATCATGATTTTTCCCTGCAAAAATGTTATACGAAATCCAATACACTCACCATCTGTTATACTATATTCACAAATAAAATAGTTTGTGTCGCTACAGTTTCCTACGTGCCATGTGGTGGAATTCTCAGTCCTGAAATTAAACAACAATAGAAAGATTCTAATTCTAATTAGTGAAATCAATTTATGAGCTATGATGCGGTGAGAATCGACCAGACATACATGGTGATTCTTTGAGCACATGATCATTGACCAAATGAAATTTTTGCTTGTTTGCGTGGCTAAATCGCACATCTGCTTTAATGATTCTTGTGTAATTGCTGACGAATTAGTCAACGAAATCACTCTAGATAAATTTGCCAAGAAGAATTGTTTCATTGTTGAGCCCACCTTTTCACGAGTCGGCAATTCCCTATTTTATAATGCATGTACCCTGCATTCACAATATGAAATAGGAACATTGTGGAACATTAATGGAATTAAACATTGACTTTTGGAAATAGGCCTCATTATCAAAATAAATTTTATTATCGTGAACATATGGTACTATTCGCTATTTGCTACATGGAATTTTTCAACCATGTTCGAAACATTATTTATTTGCTACATTTTTGTAATTGCGGCGTCGAAACATTTAGGTATTTTTAATAGAAATATTGTATCGCGTTCGCTGGTAGTATTGTCTTATGGAGCGCCAATCTGATTTCGTTTATTGTATTACCTACAAATGACGGTAAAAGTTTGTGTGGCCCTTAAAGTAGCAATAACTGTGTTTTTGAGCATTTTCGGTGAAAAATAACCACATAAAAATTACCAAACCTTACCGAAATATTATTTTAAGATCCTACAAAAGGCGAATGTCACATGAAATGCGATGTACAAACTGAAGGTCGAGTAGTCGCAATTTTCTTTGAGATAAGAATCTTATAATATTATGGCGCATGACGCAAATAAAATAACCAGTAAGAAGCCGAGTGGGCGAGACTAATACTTTCGCCCATAGCCCCCGGTAAGTTGCCATCTTGTACCGTAATTTCTGAGGTTCACTTGATGAAGCTGGATTTCATTATATGAACGCTAGAGACCTAGACGCAACCCCGCGGCCTCTTTTTACACCCCCGAGTAATTTAATGTACAACATCGGTGTGTAGCGTATATGCTATGCTTTCAGTGTTCATACTTCGGCGATGGTTGTTACAAATGACTAATGCCACAAGAAATTATTCTTCACAAATAGATAAATATAACAAACTGGTTGTGCTTGTTCGGTTCACCTCTTCAGATCAACATGCATAACCGCATAAAACAAATACAAAAGTTTACAAAATCGAGTGGAAAAAGAAGAAGAAGAATCAGCATAATTTTAGTATGGTTTCCAGAGAAAAACCTCGTGCATCTAGAAAGTCTAATAACAAAGACATATATCTAGAATTTTAAACCAATTATATATAACCAGTATCGTGTGGTTTAAATTTATGCCTGTCATAATAGATCGCTCCACCATTGGTTGCTCTATGTGACTGCTCAACATTGCATATGCAAATCATGTCTGTCTGACTGTCCGTCCGTTTTCAGATCAACATGCACACTATATATTATGCTATCATTGTAATAACAATACGTGGGTTCCTTATATTTACATAATTCAGTTGAGCACGATATTGAAACTCACCTTAGAAATACACAGTCGTTTTCCTCCGAATTATTGTCAACTAAGTTAAGATCATAACACATTTCAGAATCGTCAGTATAAACCAATGTCCCTTCATTGTCGATATCTGAGCTACCCACCCATAGATCCACCTCGTGGTCTTTCAAAAATATTTGTAATGCACGCATTCCGGAATCGTCGCGAATTTTAGCCAGCTTCCCGCCAGTTTCGTTGCAGTGGTCACGTGCATCCATCCATGTCATTGATTGGTTGTTTACGCTGTACTGGAGAGCAGGTCCGACCATGTTTATGGCGTCAGATGAGTCATTTGATAGAATAACTTACATGCAATAGTTTAATAAAATTAACAATTAATGTTTTGCTTAAAACAGTAGATCTGAATCTCTAAACTGTAATCTGTATCTTGATTTGCACGAGTAACTGAACTAAACTAATTGTTTAGTCTTGTTACTGACTAATAGCAGAATGAATCATATTTGATAATAAATGTAAAACTTTGTGGTACTAAATGTATACAGATAACATAAAACACTATGTATAAAACACTATGTATATTTTTTTGTTTACACATGTTGTACTACATCGACACTTTTGGCTCGAAATTACATTTAATAAATAACGTAAAATAGTGAATTCGTAAATACCTTACTTACCCAGAAGTCGCTTGTCGTTCTGTAACAAGGACGAAATTTCTAGTTATTTGATATAATAACAACATTGCGTCTTAGTCGGTGAGTATACAAAACAAGAAATCTACTATGTAGTGTTTCGTCCGGCCATTTTTTTTTAACTTTGGTTGCCCATGAATACCATAAATGAGACTTAATATAATTTTTACATTTCTAAAAAAAAATGTCGGACGATTTAACTTGCCTTTTTGTCATTTGCCACCATAATAGGAAATGAGAGTGACATTTCAACCGTAATCATCAGTGCAACTAATTGAACCAAGCGTTCAGCCATCATGCTGTTAGAGAAAGTTACAATAGATGTAATTCAACGAAAGCGCTACTTTTGACCGAATATTATATTAGATGACAAATCAAAACCGAGGCTGACGCTTTGTAAAAACAGTTCATCGAGCTCAGTGGTATATAACTATATGACGTCACATATGCCATGTCTGACGGAAGCTCAATTTCGCTTGTCTACAATAAGAACTACTACGCCTCGTCTACAACGTTTATCAGTTTATCGTATTACTTATTGATAGAGTAAGGTGAAAGGTATATGTCAAGTCCATCGTACATTTCAGTTTGTCTCTCAAGCTAATGACATGACGTCACATTTAATACATATATCTAATATCTAATATATATATATACGTCGTAGTTAATCGAGTGCATTTTTAACATTACTAAAAAGACAGGAAAATAATAATTTACGCCAAAAAAGGGTACATTTCGTACTCACCCAGTTACAATCAGAGAATGAACTGAGTAACCATGGTATTAAACAGACTACTGGAGTTAAATTAAAAATAACTCGGAAGTATTGTATTACAATATGTTATAATGTATTATATAGCCACTGACATATTAATAAACCGTCTGTTTAATTACCTATACCTTCAATACAATCAACTCACACATGCCGAATAACAGTCCCAGGTCCTGCGATATAGCAAATAACATTGAGTAATTAAAAGGGTGTGAAATTACTTACGCAAGACCGTGTACCGTGACTGTTTTTTGATAACATATTTGTACGTGTCTTGAAACTACGTAACACAGCCACACGAGAAACAACACAATAACGTACTGGGTATTGTTATATGGCACAATAGCAAGGGTATTTATGCATTAACATATAGGCTATTGAAACACTTGTTTTTATTTGACTACGGACGTAAAATTTAGCGCATGTTACCAACAGGTGTTTATACATGCACATATGTCACCAAGTAAGTTATCGCTACAATAAGCCTTGTTTAAAAGTAACGCCGTATAGTGGCATTAGTTAAACACACAATGTTATTTTTTAATATAGATGCATGTCAATACTGCAACATTTGCACGGAAACGGTTTTCGAATATGACAACGTGACAGCAATTGAATCAAAATTATACCGGGAGCTTGTTTTTGTTCACATCGAGGAAAATTAAATATTCAAAAATGAGGGTGAACACTCACGAATATTAAATAATTAAATATGATGCCGTGCAAATTGCACCCAAGATGTGATTTAATTTTTTAATCTGCAATTATTTGACATCGCACTACACCTTCTATCGGTAAACTCACTTCGGATCAGATGTCAGTGTACTTCCCCCACGTTACACATTTGCAAGATTTGATCGTACGTCTTTGTGGTTGGACTGTGAATTACTACATCTTTGCTGGGCCTTAGTGTACCTACCCATGTTTGGATAAACACGCACAGTCTCACCTTGTCCTCGATAGGACTAATCATTCTGACTTTACGTTTGGCCAGGTTCTGCTTGCACTGCTGATGTCAGCCGAAGTACACTACTTGTTCCACTTTTGCTAACCAATTTGCTTCGTGGCAGTTTTTTTTTTTCAAATCATAATGTTCCTTTGCTAGGCCAAATTATATGCTGCATCGCATGGCTGGTCATACTGCATTATCGCTCCATGAATAGACTTACGGCACCCCCCTCCCCTTTGTGTGTGATCTAACTGTACCACTTTTAAATGTCATGTAAATCAAAAGTCATTCGTATCTTTGTTAACCATCATGATACCTCCAAGGGACAGAGTGTGTCATATAGCCAGTTTGCTAGAACTCCAATGGCCCATTTCAGGAAAAAAAATGTTCCTCTGTTAGACATATTGTTCTATTTCCCGGCCTCTTTATAATTCTTCTCACCATAATTACGTTTCAGTCCTTCTGTACAATTTCTGGTGGAATTAGTAAAGAAAACAGATATTCTTGAAAATGTAAGTTGTCCAACACTGTCTCATTGAAACTACAGGCATATTGACAACATTAGGATTTCCTTGGGGCGTTTAATACGGATATATATGTCAAATAGAATATCGAATTCGAAATATTATATCTGATTAAATATAATTTTAAATTTATTTGTTCATCGAAATAGCATGAAAATAAATTACTAACAATTAGTGATGCACTTGATAGGAAACCTTAAATTATTCACGTTTATCAACTACACTAACTCTTAAATGCTGGTGTGTACACGATGTATTAATGTTGTGTTTACTACTTTCGAGGAAAATAAAAATTACATGCGACACCCATTTTAACTAGTGTAATATATAGCTTCTAAAGTTTCATTTGTAAAACACACACGCCAGCTACTGAGGGTGTGTAAGTGGTTACTATGTGCCACTTATGTCCACCATTAATTTTGAAGGACAGAAAAAACAAGAAAAATTATTGATTCATGTTAATTAAATAAATTAATCTAAATTAAATAAATTATTGCCTTTTATTCTGCAATAATATTTCAATGACTGTCTAAACGTTTGTACCATTTCTTTAACTTTATTTTATTCGTTAATATCCGGTCCATGCCATTCAACATGTGTTTCTCTTGTATTTCTTTGCTTAGTTTTTTCGTTGGTGTTCCGATGATTTTCTCATTTCCTTACTCTTCACTGAACTGTGAAACGTTGCACAATAAGCCTGTAGTATTTTGACCCGGTGACAACTATATGCAATATACAATGTTTTGTTTGATACTATGAATTCCGTTTCTACGCTATGCAACTATAACATTACGTCCATTATTGTTGAAAACGATGTAAATTAAACGGGGGTTGTATAAAGATACGGTGCATGACAATTGATTTTTCAAAACCATGATACTACTTCTGAAAAGTTGTTACTACGTTTAGTGTAGGTTTTCGGGGCAAGAAATTCAGTTGACGCCTTCTTTATTTCTGATAGAACGAAACCAACCTCCTGCGGTAAAACTATCACCATCTCGAATGCATGCTACAGAAAACAGGAATCAAAATCAATGACAGTTACTTCATCATGTCACATGTTATCAGACAGTAGAAAATAAGAAAACAAAAATGTAATCCACGTAAAATATGAATGCTGTTTTATTCATAATTCTTTTTATTTGAGAAAAATATTTAGAAAGATCCACATTGTATGATAAAAATTACAAAGGATTTTAAATTAAACATAATTGTCAGAAAGTTTATGCCATGTGTTTTTACATAGTGCACTTTACATAATGTTTGAAAAAAATAAAAAAATATTTTTTGCCCGAACATTCAAAATTATGAAGATCGCATGGTGTATTGTTTAACCTTCAGACTAGAACTGTGTAAAAACGCAATGGCCATACACTGTCAATCGCTGAAGAGTTATATATACAGTTGTCACAGTCAGAAAGCAGGCCATCTAAAGCGGGTTAATTATAAATAATCGAAAATAAGTCAGGCCAAAATAATAGAACCGTGATATAAAAATCACTTTTCAACAAAGTAAGACAGAAACAAAATAAACAAACGATTGTGAAAAAGTGGCTTGTTGAGAATATCAATTAGGTTACTATAATTAAATTTACACACTTTATCAACAAGTTAATACTCAGCAGTTGAACACATCTGATACAATTTGCATACACAGACTCATTAAAAAATTAACTTTATCACTGATTTTAAAATCTCACAGTGATGGCAAACGCAATAACATGCGAAACATACAACGTCAATGTCAATGGTTGCCGGGATGCTCTTAAACGGTACATTGTTTTCAATTATTTTAAGCATGACAATCCCTGCAATTTTGATATGTTAAAAGAAACACACTCTTTTGTCTCCGATGAAATTGTTTTGAAACTTGTGTGGCGTGGCTTTGGTATTTTTTCTCATGGCACCGTTAATCGTGCGGGTGTGGCTATTTTGTTTTCTCCTGCAGCAACTGTGAATATTTTATCATAATGTGAAATCATGCCTGGATACGTGTTGCACGCTCAAATTAATGACAATCCTATTAACATAATTAAATTAATTAATGGAATGCTTTACTAAAATAGAACACTTTATCAGTAATCTAAATAATAACCCAGTAATCATGGGGGGGGCGATTTAAACTCTGCGACTGAGCCCGACATGGACCGTAACAGAGGAAATGAACCGGATATGCGCACTGCAAAGCTGCTCAAATCTGTCCTGAATCATCGCAAACTGTTTGATGCATTGCGCCAATACCACGAGAACACAGTAAACTTTACGTGGGGCGTGGTGGTACGCTTGTGCGCCTTGACAGATTTTATGTTAGCAAATGTATGCGTGGGAAAATTAATAAGAATATCGATAAAATCAATGGGACATTAGCCTTTTCTGATCATTCACTTGTCACCGTCAATATCACTATTGACTGTAGTAAAAACAAAAGTCCCATGTGGTGTATGAATAGTGACATATTGGGATCTTGTCAATATATAGACATGGCGGGATTACTCACACAACAGTATTGCACACTCAAACAAGATAAATACAAAACAAAAATTGGAAAGGGAAATACAAGCTTTTAAGCAGCTACACTGAAAAAAGAAACCTCTTGCACTCTTTGTTCAACACGAACACAACGGCAGTTTTTAAATGAAAGTGGTGTATGCAATTCCTTCTATTTCCAGTTAGCAACAAAAAGGCAGTCTTTCATCTGAGGCACCAAGATAACACTATTTCTCAAAATGAAACTGAAATACTCAAAATCATGCATACTTATTATAATAACCTCATAAGCTCATAATAGTCTCCTTGAAGGGCTGTCGAAACTAAGTGAAACAGATCGTAATGACCTTGATGAAGCAATCACGTTTGACGACCTGATTGCTATGTTAAAACTACTTCCACACGGACGTACTATTAAAGGTTACGTTGCCAAGTCTGATATGTAGCGATCACCAGAAAAAAACACCTTTTCGTCACTTTTGCGCGGCGTCATTTGCATCATTATTCACCCAGACCAGCATCTCTAAAAGGCATATTTATGATAGGATACATCATTAATACACATTGTGCTTTTGTTTTTTGAGACCATTTTTTTTCTTACATTCGCTTCTTATATACCAACGTCCAGATCCTGGTCCGTGTAATTTTTTTCCTTTTTACACCCATCACTATAACACGGGGAATTCAGGGTATTCAGCTATTGAACCACTTCTTCATAAAATCAGATATAATGAAAGGACTGGTCATATCTTAAAGCAAAAATCAACACTCTAAACTCACTGCTTACGCTAACGACGGGGAATTGTTCATAACTCGCAAGCAGAATTTCAATTTACTTACTCGCTGGTTGCATATCTACGAGCTTGCATCAAACTCTAAAATCAATCTGCAAAAATCAGAAGCGCTATGGTCTTGTAGCTGGCGCAACAGCATCTACTCTTCTCATCGTGGGATCGGGTGTTTATCTTCGGAATAATGCAAATTATACTGATCAGAGCTGGACTGAACTTGTGACAAAAGTAAATAATAGATCAACTTTTGGCATTACTTTGTTCACAGCATGTCTTACAGTTCGCGCGCTATTGTTATTAATAATCTGATTTCATCGCAGTTAATGTAACGCTTTAATAGCCTTGTGCCGCCATCGGACGTAGTTCTGAAGGTACAGACAATGCTACTCGATTTCTTTTGCCAGGGACGACATTGGGTATCTGCCGAAACACTGTACCTTCCCTTGGAAAGGCGTCGGCAAAACGTTACACATCTTCTAACGCGCATAAACACCATGCGACTTGCGATATTGGTTGCAATATTGACAGTGATATCTAAGAAAATATTGTGTTTCATTGAATAAAATTGATTTTGAAGTAGACAATTTGCTTGCATTTGATTGCGTTTCAGAGTGTCCCAAAAATACAAATGACCTAACTATAGAGCTCTCAACAATGCGTACAAGATACACACGAGTGCTGATGAGAACTGTGTATGAACGTGAATTGTATTACGTTGTTGCTTTTTTGAAACTATTCAATAAAAAAGACTATATGCGTTGTACTTAATGCCAATATGTCACCCATGCATCAACTCAAGCGAACAATAGCAAGGGAAAGAAGATTTACGAGCCCCGTACAGTCTAATGTTTTCGACAATTACAGGGTAGTTGGTATTGACCTTTTCGTTGAACAGCAAATTACATTCGATCATTACTTATAATTTTTGTATATGAAGTTTTCAAGTGCAATCCATTCTTCTAATTAATTACATGTATATGTATGTGTAATTTGTAATTATGCATTGAGCAACAGTGAGAGTGTATTAGTGTGTAATTACCGAATATCAACACACAACTTTTTAATGGGAATTGAGAATATGAACAAAAAACAAATCATCCGATGAACATAGAGCATTGCGAAGAAAGTTTTGAAAAGTAAATGCTTCGCGGTTTGTGTTTGCATCTTTTCTCTCACATGGGCTGTTTACATGCGTTATATCGGTAATATAAGCTGCCTAGCATAGTTATATTTTATATTTTATTTTATATTATTGTATGTGATATTGTTCGCTTGTGTGTCTGATGAACTGAAACGAAACTTAATAGATTCGTCTGAATTATGTAGATTATTTATTAACACATGTTTCTCTAATAGGATTCCAATAACATACACTGCTATGTGGTAAAGTAGACATCATTGGCTATTTTCATTTCTTTTATGTTCAGTCATTCGTCATATTTTGTCTCCCTCTCTTCCATATCTCCAAATAATTCTTCTACTTCTCGTTTAATCTCTTTTTCTCTCAAATCATCCTCACTGTAAATATACAAAATCAAAATAGTAGGTGGATAATGTAGGTGAATATTCAAATGTGAATCTTTTCAAATATAGCGTTGAAATGCCCTTACTTCATCAAAATGTATCATCATGTTATAGCACACTTAATACGCGTTAAAATATCTTGAAACAACATTCGCGTTTGTCGACATCTATGTGATGTTTCGACATCAAAAAAAACGGCATGGCCTTTGTTTGTTGTGTGTTATGTTCAATTTCACGCGTAACGCGAGATTTCACAGTAAACGGAAAATGGGTCATTAATAAATATTTGTCCGCAGTGTTTGTGAATGATATCAAATCAAGCACTAACCATTTAGATCCCCCCCCAACCTTGTTTTGAACAACATAACCATAAACGCTATTTAACGAACAGTGGCGCTCTTTTACTAGAAGGCGCGTTGAATGATTTATTGAACTAAACAAATCTAGTTTGACGTCTGGGTTCGTTTTGAAGCCAAAATATCATACATTCTTGCGTCATCAATAATTTGGACTTGTATCAAAGACGTTATTGGTTAAACAAAATTGATCTTTTTCTCGGAAATTTTCTGCTGGAAATTTAAATTTTACAAATCGATGTGTTTCTTTCTCACGACACAGTGCATTTAACTTTACACTGTGTATCGCCCTTTCCCGCCCTTTTTGTTAAAAATAGGCAACCACTTCATGCGATATAAAAAAAAATATTCTAATAATTGCAACAACAATTGCAAATTGCACTGTGATTGTCAACTAAATTTACATAAAGAATGGCGGATACTTTACTTACAAGCAATCTAAGTCACGATCACACGGTATTTTGTCACGCTTGCTTAATTGTAGTCGTCGTCGGCGGCGTCGACGCCAAATACTTTCACTATCATCAATGAACATAGCAACAAGAATCATGAAACATAGCAGCAACCACAGTTTCTTCATTATTCCACTAGATAAGAACTCACAAATCTACAAAGAAATAAGTAATTCGGCCCGAGTGAGTGAATGAATATTCATATATGACACATTATATTATATATAATACCAGTATATTGATGGTGTTAATCCATTGATTTGATTGGTCCAAACACAAAATTTGCATATGCAATTAATGGTATATTGGTTGATAATACACAGCTTAACAAAGTGGAATATAAAATACATAAGATTGGTAGTATTTGAACTTTAGGGAAATATAGTGGTTGAATTTTGGAAAAATATTGGAAAAAATACCGAATTAAAATCATCTGAAAAATTATATAACCATAATATTGCTTTTTGTTAATGACGGGATCTAAGTTGTGAGCATCGGTCGTTGGGTGATCTTCGTTCGCCACACAAACCTAAACCACCGTCCTTGACCGTGAGGGACGGTACCTAAACGGACGTCATAACGCTGTGTTCTCCGTGTTGTGACTTTTAAATGGATTGCGAACCTCCAACAAAAAAACACAATCTTTAAGTTTAACTGCTGACCAACTAGATGAGATTGACGGATTGAAGAACAAAAAAAAAATACGAAAACTACGAGTCACAGGCGGGGTTCGAATTGTAGCTGACATAATTGCCGTGCCAATTACCGTGTCGGTCACCGTACGATACACCACAGCGCCCTGCCTTGTCTCAAACGTCAAATATCCACAGTTACAAGTCACAAACCCGGTTTATTTCACAACTGTACTTTCAATGGGCAAATTACAGTCCAAATTGTACAAAAACGGAATGAAAACATGTTGCTATAATGATCCAAACTATACAGGACCCTGTATTTCAAATAGCGTTGACGTAGTCAGTAAAAGGTCAGAAAGGTCATCCGTTGTTATGCTGTTGTTTTTTTGTGTTTACGCTGCTCTATTCACCGTGGATACGTATCGTTTTCACGCGGAATAAAAATTAGTTTGTATTCAATTTGAACTTATAAATATTCATGTTCAAGGGCCATAACCAAGATCTTATAGTAGATGCAAGTAAACTTTGTTTATAATAGTTTTATCGAATTTTCAATATACCGGTATAATATAATAGCAATAACTCCCGCTGAAGTTGGGTATACCACTTGATGTTGCACAGTTCACTCCATGTATGCACTCGCCTGCAGCTCGTGCATATATGTCGTGAAGTGTGCAATATTTCGTGAAATAACCGCCTTCGGCGGGGGGTTATTGCTTTAACATGCTGCATTTAAAAATGTATATTTCAACTTTAAAATTTTATTTTGCACCACACCGAACAAATTCATGGTCATGAATTGAACCATTTGATAGTTCAATAGTGTGTAGTTGTGATAGTTCACAAGTGTATAGACGGACTGCATTCAACCATACTAAACACCCTAAGGCGTTTAAACTTTTTGACAAACTTGTTGTTTTTGTTTGTGTGACTTGTATTGTCATATATGTATTATGTCAAAGCCTGTGCTTGCACTGCGACGATATTAAGTGTATGTCGATGTGTAGTTGACTCGCGTCCAACCATTAATTGTTCTTTTATTCATTTTAACGTGATCCCGAAAACTAACCTGACTGCTAAAGAAATCCCGACTGTTTTTGCAAGTCCCGACTTTGTCAGTCTAACCTGAAGTGAACGCTTGAATATTTACAAACAGATCAGTATGACTTCACTCAAAAAGAAAATGTTTATTCTGCTTTGCTATGTGCTTTATTAATTTTATTTATTGCCCAGATCAGATCTATGATACGTGTAAGTTCCAGTCATCCCACGGTAATATAGCCCGTTTTGACACGTATGATGGCGAATGAGCAAAATGTACTTCCTTTGTACACCTGAGTAGGCAGCCGGCCGTGGGTAGAGAACCCGCACAGTCTTATTACACTAACCATTAGGTCACACATAAGGTCTAATTTGTTTTCGGATTGTGTCAACAGCATTACAATGGTAATCGCATTGACCATTTCTCACGCTATACGTTCCACTTGAAAAACGAATTTTTACTTCAGATGTAAACTTAACATAACACCCATCATGATATCGGAATGCAGAGGTAGATACAGACAGAATATACGACATTAAGTCACTTACCAGTCAATGTAGTTTATACAGCCAGTTGAGCCGTGGTAGATCACGTAATATATGGAGTATATATAACATACGTTACTATGGGTTACAATTGTATGAACACGGGGGTGTCAGAACTAATAAAACACAGACAGCCACAATGCTTTATTGTTAGATAATACAATTCAATGTCGACTCAAGAAAAGGAAAATATAGGCTGTTTTTTTGTTTCCGTTGCTCTTGAAAACCACGTAGCCTTTTGATCTAGTGTTTTTTTTATCAGTATTATTATTCTGTTGCCGTTGAATCAACAATCCCAAAAGTTCGCAGTTAGTTAGGACTATATAGACATAGCTGTATTCTCACTGTGGTGTATTGCTGTGATCTGTTGATAAAAACCGCAATGAACGAATGCAACAAAACGAGTTTGTGCGTCGGCCCATTCGCAATTCGTGAAACAATTGATAGAGGCTCAGTTAATCCAAGATTGTTGGACATTGTCCAGAAGTTGTTGCAGGGACATATTATATACACATATTATACTTTCTACTGATTGTATTTACGTTATGTGATTTAACTGTGTGGTGTTCAAAAATAAAAGAACAGCATATTGTATTAAACTATATCAGTGATTGTTTTCCTCAGGTCAAACAGCATCGCGGCCCGCGACGCGGTCATTCAATCCCCCATTAAAAAATAGCATTAATTGTCTGCAATTTCTAGACTACTTAGTGGCAAGAAAAATTTTCTTTGTTACGACTACTTGTCTGGTTTTAACTAGCGTCATGTCTTTGCCGTATCCTGTCCCTTGCGTCTAAAACAATACGCGTGAATTAGCTGTAAAATGACGACTGACAACAATTATTGTAAGGGTCAGACGAGTATTTTTTACCGGATACGCGACACAAATAAACAAGCCCAGCCCACAATCGCGTGTGATGCGTTGAGTTACGAGTGTAAGTGAGAAGTTTTGACCACTAAAAATACACCAGTCAACAACATGAATAATATAAATTTCACAGTCTCGTCGACTATGGTATAATATCGCAAGATATCGTCTCCAGAAAAAATCATGAAGCGACAAGTCAACTTAGAAAGATTGGCATTCATTGGATCTTTGGCATGTATGTATTGGATCTGTCAAAACAAAATCGCACATAACACATGAACTAGTTCAATCACTTGGATGCACATACTTCGAGCATCTGAACAAGGTACATACAAATATTTTTGTTATTCTTTATTGCATGTCCGTCATTCAGTAGACCATTACTAGTATTTTGAATGAAAATATTTTTTTCCAGGGAGCAAATGCATGTTATACCTATGAACGTACTATACAGAAGATGGTTCAAATGCTTGGTACTGTGATGAAACATGATATCATGGAGCAACTCAAAATGGATCCTTTCTATGCTGTTATGATGGATGAAACGATTGACATATCCATTCTGAAACAACTTATTATGTATGCAAAGTTCATTGATAAGAATGATGAGGTGGGTACAGTGCTCCTATTGTTTTTATAAACATTATCAATGTTCTTAAATTTATCTGAAATTTCATATAAATTGATAATAAATGTATTTGATATCACTTCAAGGTGAGGACATCATTTATAAACTTTCAAGATATAAATGATGGGAGAGCAAAAATTATAGAACAAGCTACTGTTTTTGTGACTTTGTGAAGAAGAATCCCTTGAAATACAATGGCTGCCCTTGGATCAGACGGAGCTGCAGTTATGGTGGGACGACGAACTGGAGTAAGAATAATTTTCTTGTAATCTTTAGGGAACTCCCTTCTTGATTATGGAGTTGGCTTTGAGTATAATTCTTGTTGTAAATATATATATATGGAAAAAAAATGTTATTATTTTTAGGTTGCTACCCGATTGTAAGAAAGAAATCCATTTCTGCTGAGTATCCACTGTGTTGCACACAGACTGGCTTTGACTGCATCCCAAGGAATGGAAGGAATAAAGTATCTGAAGCGGCTATCAAATATTCTACAGCAGTTATACTGCTTTTACCAAAATTCAGCAGTGCGAATGTCTGGATTGAAAGAAATGAAAGTGAATCCTTACATCAAGTGGCGTTGAATTATTAAGTTGGCAATATCTTAGATTTATAGTGTACATCTGTATAAAGTGACATCTGTTGTACTTGCATGGGAATTAATATACTTTTATTATTTAGGCTATATTGTTTGAACCACAGAGAAAGTTAAACCAAGCTAAAAATTTCATAAGAGGGCAGTTGATGATATTCAAAAAAGTCTAGAGAGAGAGTGATGAAAAAGGTGATGCAACTGCTTATGGGTTAGCTAGATTTGTCAAAGAATATAACTTCATTGCATCCATCCAAATGCTGAGTGATATTCTGCCTCACCTTACAAGATTATCTTTGGTATTCCAGGTATGTTTATAAATTAATAATAACTTAATATTAATACTAATACACTTTTACATTCAAGTATGGTATTGCACCAACCTTATTTTTCTGACAACTATTTTTATTTGCAGAAGAAAGATATGAACTTCTCTCTTATTGAACCGGTGTTACACAGTACTATAATGCCTATCAATCACCTGAAAGATGTCCCTGGTATTCACATGCAACAACTTGAAGCAAGGTTTACTAATGATTTATCGTACACAGTATCAATGTTACACAACACTTTTAATCATTTAAGAACCAGGTATGCCACTTATATTTTATTAATATTATGTAATTATTAAACTAAATGCTTTATATGTCTAGTGCAATAATAAATACATTACATGATGTTTTTATAGATTTATGACAAGTACATTGTTAACATCACCATCAATTTGAAAGAGAGGTTTCATGAGGTGGAGCTGCTTCAAGCATTCACTGTATTTTACCCCAGCACTGTGGATGACACAGTGCAGCAACAGCAACTTCATGTATGTAATGCGATATATCCCGACTTTATGTGCATGTATAAGCTTCCCCAAAACATCTTCACTGACAAAAATATTTACTATTTTTTCTAGACACTGTGAACACACTATAAAGGGATTATATGAAATACAGATGATGTAATGAGTGAGTAGGATGTTTTGAAACAACAGATGCTTGGCATAAAAGATGATGAGAAACATATTGATGTAGTAAAGAAGATAGTGAGATTATATCAGTCTGTATATCCAAACCTATATAAGCTGGCATGTATTGCCTTTATCTTGCCAATGAGCACTGCAAGTGAGTTTTACATTTTGTCATCACTAAATATTATTAATCATCTCACAACTATTCCCCATTTTTTATTCTAACAAAATTAATATTTCACTTAGTATTACCCTTTATCCTTTCCTTCAGATTGTAAGAGAGGCTTCTCTGCATTGAATAGAATCAAGACTACACTTAGAAACAGGCTGAATGAAACTACATTGAAGCACTTTTTCTTTATAGCGCTAGAGGGACCACCAGCTACTATGTTTGATTTCGACATGGCAGCAGATTTGTGGGCAAGGAAACAGAACAGAAGACTGAGCATCATTCAAATTAATGAAGAATAACTTGTATATAATGTATAATATAAATTAAATGTATTTAAAATAAAAAAAACAAGAATCATATGTCTTGCATTGTGTTAACATTTTATAGTGTGAGCAATTTATGTAAATCGGTATGCTAATTAATCCGCAACTCTGCCACAAAATCCTGAGAACACTTTTCACCTTGTGTTTGTGTAATACCAATCAAATGTCAAGTCAAATGCCGAAGAACCTTCTGAAAATCGGAGAATTAGTGTAATTTGCAGTCACTTGAGTGACCAGCGTGCCCGTTTCTTTCTTAAGTGATTTTAACAAATTCTTTGTTTCTGATTTGAAAAAAGAATACCTCGAGCACTGTGTTTGCATCTCTACTGTCGCATGGGTTGTTTATATGCGTTATATCGATAGAATAAGCTGCCTCGCATGGTTATATTTTATTTTATATTATTGTATGTGATATTGTTTGCCGGTATGAACAGAAAAAAAACGTAGATTCGTGTGAATTGTATAGATTATTTATTAACACTAGTTCCTCTAATAGGATTGAAATAACATACACTGCTATGTGGTAAAGTAGACATCATTGGCTTTATGTTCAGTCATTCACCATATTTTGTCTCCCTCTCTTCTATATCTTCAAATAATTCTTCCACTTCTCGTTCTATCTCTTTTTCTCTCATGTCATCCTCACTTTAAATATAAACAATCAAAATAGTAAGTGGATAATGTAGATGAATATTTAAATGTGAATCTTTCAAATATGGCGTTGAAATGCCCTTACCTATCATCAATCGCGTTTGTCGACATGCATGCGTTGTTTCGACATCAAAACAACGCCATGGCCATTGTTTGCCATGTGTTTACGTTCAATTTCGCGCGTAACGCGAGATGTCGTGAAAAGGAAATGGGTCATTAATAAATATGTGTCCGCAGTGTTTGTGAATTATATCAAAACAAGCACTAACCATTTAGCTCTCCAACCTTGTTTTTAACAACATAACCTACAGCCCATAGACACTATTTAACGAACAGTGGCACTCTTTTTACTAGAAGGCGCGTTGAATGATTTATTGAACAACATAAGTTTGACGTTTGGGTATGTTTTGAAGCCAAACTATCATACATTCTAGCGTCATCGATAATTTAGACTTGTATCAAAGACTCAGAGGTTATTGGTTAAATGAAATTGATATTTTTCTCGGACATTTGCTGCTGGGAATTTAAAATTTACAAATCGACATGTTTCTTTCTCACGACAGTGTTTTAAACTTTACACTGTGTATTGCCCTTTCCCGCCTTTTGTTTTTTGTTAAAAACAGGTAATCACTTCATGCATCTGTTTTTACCTCCATGCTTCATGCGACATGAAGTTTTGATTTTAATAATTGCAACTTGCAACTTGCACCGTGATTGCAAGGATGGTGTAATACTTTATTACTTACAAGCAATCCATATCACGATTACTCGGTATTGTGTCACGCTTGCTGAATTCTCATCGTCGTCGCCGTCGTCGCCACATTCTTCCGCCATCAATGAACATAGCAACAAGAATCAT